CAGCTAAGGACCTGGCCCTCGACCTAGGCAAGTGCCCTGACCAGGATTAGAACTGGCAAGCTTTCAGTTTTGGGATGATGCCCAAACTGCGGAGCCACACCATCAGGGCCCAATAAGATACTTGAGATAATACAGAACTGTACTAATGAGTACATTTATCACTTTGAAAAGTATAGTAGTACGTAGACTAGTAGGGGAGAAATCCTGTCACCTGTTGTTTGAGACACTTTGGTGAACCTTTGGTTTACAAGGTTTCATAATCATATCAATTTACTATGAGCTATTTTCAGTCAACAGTTTGATCACAAAGTTTCGTATTTCTCACTATCTGTTTTGCCCAACTCCAAAACAGATGTTTCCACTTATTATGTACATTTAAATTTTCATTTCCTAGTGAACATAGTGACTAGAATTCATATGTTCAATGATATAACAGACTGTAGGTCTTTTATATTTTCCTATAAATTTTACTATTAGTTTGTTAATCTGTTTTTTTTAAAAAAAGCCTGCTAGTATTTTGACTGGGATTAAATTGAATGAGAACAGAATCAGTAAAGTCCCAGAATGCAGTCAATATAAAAATTAATTTTTCTACATTTGAGAAATACATGGAAAGTAAAATTTTAAATATTACTTAAAATATTATCAAAAGCAAAAATACTTAGAAATAAACTTAATGAAAATTGCAAAATATATCTACACTAAAAACTGTAAAACAACACAAATAGAATATAGATCTAAACAAATGTAGAGCAGTGCTCTAGATCAGAGGACACAATATTGCTTAGGTGCCCATACTACTCGAATTTACATATGGAGTCAATCTACTCCCAAACAAAATCCCAGAGGTTTTTGTGTTTTTTTTTTTTTTAGAAATTGACAAGCTGATTCTAAAATTTATTTGGAACATGAAGGATTTAGAATACTCAAAAGAACCTTGAAAAAGAAAAACTGGTTTAGGACTTAACGCCTTCTGATTTCAAGACTTACTATAAAGCTAAAGTAATCAAGACGGTGTAAGAGCGATGTGAACAGACCTACAGATCAAGGAAACAGAAAAGTCCAGAAATAGACCCACACATATGTGGTCACATGATTTTTTTACAAAGATGTTAACATAACTTAATAAGGAATTAAATCTTTTCAACACATAGTGCTAGAATAACTAGATATCCATATGGAAAAAAAGGACTTCAACCCCTACCTAATATTATACTCAAAAATGAACTCAAAGTCAATCATAGACCTCAACACAAAAGCTGAAAACTTGAAGAGAAAATGAAAGAGCCCTAGCCAGTGTAGCTCAGTTGGCTGGAGCATCACCTTGTACCCCAAAAGTTTGTGGGTTTGGTCCTGGGTCAGAGGCACATACCCAGGTTGCGGGTTCAGTCCCTGGTCTGGGCACGTATGGGAGGCAACCAATCAATGTTTCTTTCTCTTTCTTACTCTCTCCCTAAAAATCCATGAACATTCCTCAGATAAGGATTAAACAAGGAAAAGAAACAAAAGTCTTTATGAACTTGAGTTAAGGTTAAGAATCCTTGCACAAAGAGACAGGCATGGTGATTGTCCAAGTGTATGCATTTGTCGAAACTCAGAAATATATACTAAACGGGTGATTTTCTATATGTAAATTATACATCAATTTTTAAAAGCGCAAGAAAATGAACATACTATGATTGCACACGACAACATAAATGCACTCCAAAAACATAGTATTGGCAAGAAAATCAAAACATAATCTTCAAGTGATATGACTAAAATGAAGAGCAAAGAAAGTAAATTCCAGAAAAGTTAGCATAGTGGTTAACTTTGAGGCAGTGTAAGAGGGTAGAGATGGGGAAGGGGCCCAAGGCATAGGGTCACTTCAAGTACACTGGCATTTGTCTGTCTTTCTTTTCTGGGGGTTACGTGAGTAATTACTTTGTGCTACTTTATTGAGCTATCATTTATATTTTACATCCTTTTAAAAAAAACAAGCCAAGTAACTCAGGGTAAATTATTAAAGACTGATATAAGAATATATATATTTTCAGAGGTCTGAGGCAGTCATATCTTGGCTACACCATTTATTACATGTGTGTGACTTTAGACAGGTTTCTTAACCTTCCTCAGTCTCAGTTTACTAATCTATAAAAAAAGTATTCTGTCTTTTCTTGGGCAATGACTAAAAAATTTAGACCTCTATATTTTATATCATTACAATGTACAACTATTTTTACATTCATAAGCTGGAAGTTATTTTCCCTAGAGAATAAGGATACAAAACTGATAATCTGGGTAATTCTGATGGACTTCTGACTGGATTCTAGAAAGCTCAACTCTTTCAGGAGCGTAGGCTGTTTCTTTGTCTACATACTAATAGAAAGTCAACTTATGTACACTCAAATGAAGAAGTTAGAATCAAATTATATAAGCTAATATTATTAGAATCAGTCCTTACTTTATTTTACCCCATTCGTTCTGAAAAATAAATTAATAACACAATTAGTAAAACATATGCAGAAACAGTGCTGTTACTAACTACATGACTATATCTTACTCAATATCTAAGTTTCAGAAGACACATAAAAACAATTATTTCATATAGATACTTCAAATCAATTTTATGTGCTAAGTTAGTCCTCATGTCAGACTTTACTCTAGTGTACTCTAGTACACGAAATATGAAATATAGACAGTGTGAACAAACCGGTTCTGTTGGTTCTCTAATAAATGTAGAAAGTAGTATTTTTAAAAGTATAACTGCCAACTGCCAACTGCCAATTTTAATAGCAGTGATTGTACTGATATTTTTAAATTAAGATCTGAAAAAATGTATAGACATTCTAGCCCATAATTTTCTTAATAAAATAGTTTTCACAATATCTGATCTCTCACGCATATACTTTCCTCAAAACACTGTCGTTCACATTTGCATATAAACAGCACCCACAAACAAGATAATATTTATAGATCCATGTAGAAATTCCTGAAGCATGTTGGGAACTTAATTTTTCTAAACTAATAACCTAAACGAGCGATCATGAAACCATCTGCAAGCAATATTCTACATGAAATTTATTGATAAACACTAGAGGGTGCTCTAATTCAACAGTCCCTCCTATGTGCCTTTGATCCCTAAAATGATTTTCTTGATTAAAGCAACAACTTTTTTGTATCTGAAATAGTACATGGAGATAATTTATGAGACAAAATTGTTCCAGAATTTATAACAAAACAGAAGAATTCCACTGAAATCATTTTTACAGTACAATTGCTACATATTTAATGTTGTTAGGTAGAAAGAACAGAAAATAAGTACATAACAAATATAAGATGGTCCTTCACTATTATGGAAAGTAGCACTGAGTTCATATGGTTAAAAGAAGATATATATACCTCATAGACTAAAGGTAAAGGAAATTACAAAATGAATTTGGCAAAAGACATAGTAGCTCAATTTCAAATACATAGTAGATAAGTATTAAGACAGAGTTCAGCTACTTTACAAAGGTATTTTCAAAGTCATCATTTAAACAGCAAATAGATGTGATTCTGCTATAGGATATTGTCTCCTGTCTTAAGAAAATACTTTTTAAGTCAACAGCTTCAGAAAATTGAAAAAGAAAATAATCCAAGACCTTGAATATCCTGAATAGAAAATAATTAAGAATCAATATAAATTTTCATAAAAGATGCACATGTGCTAGTTTTTAAATTTATTCCTAAAATGTTCATAAGCTCAATCACAAGTCTTTAAAAATTTCAAAACTGACAGTAAACTGTATGTTGTTGCCTACTGGCAATCCAGAAAATTTCCCTGGAGTACGAGTTTTCAATAGACAGTATTAGCCAATCACGAATAACAAAGATAAATACCTAGGAAAACCTATCACCTATGTATTTCAAGAAAGTGGCTATTAACTGAAGTACTAGTTAATCCTAACAAAATAGACAATATTTTGCCTTTAAAAGTATTTATGAAGATAAAAATAGATTATAAATATTTCTAAAAGTTACATACCCCAAATCAACCAATTTCTCTCAACCTCTGTCTCTCTCACACACATGCACACACACCCCTACACATGTGTATGAATGCACACTCACTGCTTGCTCACACGCAATTCACTCCACAAGAAGGGAGCTCCTGGTTTATGCCTCTCTCTCACTTCTTTCTGTAATGAATTACCAACAGCCTTCAAAACAATCTTAAACAGTAGCACCTGTTGGTGGAGGGTCACTTCAAATTTACAGTAGTCCCAGACAAATTGTTCCAGGTTAACAGAATTACAGAACTAGAGAAAAGCCAGAGATATAATTGAACCAGGCTCACAAACCACCTATACTCAAGGAACCAAAACACATGGCATTCAAAGAACTAGTCAGATTACTGGAGCCCAAAGAAATTCCAAACACAGAATTTCAGAACGTTGTGTTACAGTCTGAAGTATGTATTTGGCACCTATATTCTTTTGGCATTCACTTCTCCTTTTTATGTTTATCTGCCTTGCATTTGCCAGATTCCTAGGGCCCCAATTACACTCTAAATGCCCAGCTGCCAACTTCCCTATTCAATGTCACATCAATTAATACCTTCTATTCAATAGGCGACAGCACACATTCATTAGAGATTAATATCTGAAATGCTCACATATCTGTACTTTAAAGAAGCTCTTCGGCACCATTAATACACCTCCATCAACGGAAAAACATGGCTCTGAGACAGCTGGTTACAGGGAGCATTTTAGTGCTTTCTAGCAAGTCTCAAGTCACACCATTACAAACACTGCATTTTGGAGTTACAACATAATCCTAATCATGATCATACCTTCTCACTGGTATTTGTAGCTTTTGTCCACAAATCTGAAAAGTATAGGAACTACATAAAGTGAAAACTGGGTAGAAATATGTAACTTTATTTACAAACACCAACTTTTTTCTCTTACTCTTTACATAAAAATTTACAAATTGTAAGATGATAATATTCTATTCAAATCATAAGTTAAGAGGAATACCTGCTTTCCATGATTCCTAAATCCGGCTGCAAACTAATAGTCTCTGTTGTAATTTCCACTTTCCGTACACTTCCAAAGAAATCCGTTATTAGGACATTTTTAGGATCCCTCTGAAAAAGATCAGTGCGATGTCCAGGAGTAGACACACATAGACTCTTTGGACACACCTGAAACTGAAAAAAATATATAAGAATAATAAATACGTGTGTTCCTACACACACACACAACTTTTATTAAATCCAGTAACACATCGTAGTAGACTGCAGAGTATTCTGATAGCTCTGCCAATCTGATCTGAAGAAGCTACTGTTTCTAAAGATAAAAGTTTCACTGCTATCACAGTGCTTGACATTTTAAGAAAGCTACACAGACATAAAAACAGCTGACAAAATGGAAAGCTGTCAGGGTGAGAGGAACACCCACCTTTTTGAATCATATGGTTCGCAGTATATTTTGAACCCTTCAATCTATGAGAACTCACACGCAACACTATGACAAGAGAACTGCCTTTTTCCTTCATTTACACCCACTTTAGGGGGGCAGTGCTCTACCCGGATGGCTTTTTAAAACATTTTGTAATCATAAGCCTTCATTCAAATGTTTAAACAAATGAAAAATTACATGGTAGCCCAATATGTAAAAAAAAAAAAAAAGGTAAAAGTAGAGGTGCAATGGCTCGCAGGAAGCGCAAGCACAGCCTCCCCATTAGAGATGCCCCTGGCTCTCCTCCTGTGAACCTATGGAGATCAGTCTATAAATCAAGTAACTTGCTTAATTTATTCAAAATGAAAATAAACCCACAGTACCTTCACACACGAGTGCTCTACAGAAGACAGTCAACAAACATGACTTCATTGCTATACAGCTATATTAGGAATAAGATTAAGTTAATCTTATTCCCAATATTCCCCCATCAATGAATTACCAAAGACAGACATATATTTACTCAGCAAAGCATAAAAAGCACCTATCATTACATACACTTCCCACTGTTACCTTCCAGAATACAAAAATTGATTAAGACATGGTTCTGTCCTCAAAGCTTCTAGTCAGAGATGAATAAACATACAGCAAGATAAAAAAAAATAGGTGACAGGTTCTAATTCAGAAGAGAATAAACTTTTTACAGTTTCAGGTTAAGAAAAAAGAGGAAGTGGGATGTAAGCTGTTTTCTGAAGAAAAGGGACTATTGCAGATGGGGTATAAGAGCATTCCTAATAAAGGTGCAGCCACAGAGACATATAAGGCAAATGACCTAGTTTAGCAGAAGCATGGGATATATGAGGAATACTTTAACGGCCTTCTACTAAGGGCCCAAGGCCACAGCGCTCGCCCACCGGTGCAGACAAGACCATCCAAACAGATAATCACACACATGACAGGAGAGGGCGGGGCAGGGCAGCTGTAAGTTATGAAACAGTGCTCCAAGCGCAACTGTGTATGCAATTTCTAGACATTCTCATTTAAGCTCACCAGTAACTTTGAGCCACATAAAAATTATTATCTCTACTTCAGACTAAGGCTCAAAGAGATTAAGTCATTTGCCCAATATCACACTGCCTTCCTTCAGGAAAGCAGTAAAAGCAAATACAAAGAAGAGATCAGGCTATAAATTAAGAAGCAAAGAAGGAAAAAAGGTTGAGAAAAAACTAAAGAAAATAAAATAAGGAAGGATAAAACAAATGAAAGTCTGAAGAAACAAAGTAAAAGATAAAATATCAGAGATGAAGTCCTAGGTACACTGTGAAGTTATTCCTATATGAGCAACTTGGTGAGCTTCATTAGTTACCAGGAGAAAAGTATAATTGAATGAGCTTGGGAAACACTAAATAAATATTACCTTCTTCTCTGTTGCTAAAATTATCATAATTTGAAGTCACTCCTCCCTTTAAGAATGTTTATTTTATTGATCTGATTTTCTTATCCTCAGCAACATAATGACCCACAGGTCCTGTTAATTATTCATCTTAAATTTCAATAATCTTTCACTTACAGAATCTCCACACTCTAGCCAGCCTCTATGTTTATTACCAAAGACAAGGATCATCTTAGTCCTCCAACTTCTATGCCTCTGCATCTATTCCATCTTCCTAGAGTATGCTATACTTCTTTTCTTCTTTCAAACCTGAAAATATCCCACTTCCAAGACAAATTTTAATCACTAATCCCATTGTATTCAAAAGACCCATATAAATGTGCACTGTTGTCATGTCCTTCACTTATTCAATCAACATCCACTGAGCATCTGCAATTACTATATACACATATAGTAACAGTATAGTAAAACTAGTTACTATGTGTAATTAATATCTATGGGTATAAGATGTATAAAGCATGATAATGCTTATACCTCTTATTTAAGAAACTCAGTTTCAAGGGACCATTACAATGATAAACAATTACAGAACAATATTAAAAGCATAATAAAGGTACATAGCAAGAGTTACGTGTTCAGAGAAAGAAGAATTGCCTAGAGGACCCAGAGACTTCATATAACAGGTGATATTCTATAAATGTGCTGTTACCAATGACACCATACATTTTTAAGGGACTAAACAAGTCTAATTTTTCTGCCCCTGAAGCCCTTAATATAGTTCTCTGAATACAACTGATACTCAACAAATTTTACTATATACACATAATCATTACATAATATCTAGAGATATGTCGAATCACTATATGAGTACTATTTAACTTCAAGGAAACAGATCATTCTTACTGAACAAAAGTAAAATAATTAATCAACTAAAATTCAATTAATGAATTGAGGTGGAAGGGCTGGATGAAATTAGTGAGGAATGTTTTATGTGAAATTAAATATTACAGCCCCAGATGGCATGGCTCAGTGGATTGAGCACTGGCCTGAAAACCAAAGGGTTGCCAGTTCAATTCCCAGTCAGGGCACATGCCTGGGTTGTGGGCCAGGTCCCCAGTAGAGGGTGCATGAGAGGCAACCACATACTGATGTTTCTCTCCCCCTCTTTCTCCCTCCCTTCCCCTCTGTTTAAAAATAAATAAATAAAATCCTTTAAAAATCAAATATTATAGAATAAAAATTAATGAAATCTTGCCATTTATGATAACATGGATGGACTCGGAGGGTTTTATGCTAAGTGCAATAGCTCAGACTTAGAAGGAAAAATACAATATGGTTTTACTTATATGTGAAATCTGAGAAAGAACAAACAAAAGAAAACAAAAATAAACTCACAGAAACTCACAGAGACCAAAGGCATAGCTGCCAGAGGGGAGGGTGAAGGAGTGAAGCATAAAAAAAGGTGAAAGGAATGTAGTCAATAATATTGTGGTAAGTTGGCACTGTAACAGATGATACTCAGAATGAGTGGGGTGATAACACTGTAAGGTATAAAAATGTTGACTCACTATACTGTACACCTGAACTAATACGACTAATATAATACTGTATCTAGACTACACTTAAATTTAAAAAACTAAATAGCAATTTTGAGCAGTAAAAATTAGCTTCCTCAGTGTTTCAAATATAATTTCAATGAAAGAAGTATCTTTTTAATTCATTAGACATTTAAAATGTGAGGTGCATTTATTGTGAACTCCTGAGACAGAATGTCATGCATTACACAAAATACACAATATAATCCAAAACAGTGAATGAACTTTAAAATTAACTGGAATTTAGGTGACTATAACTTTCTTACAGATAAAGTAGCATTATCAGAAGTTTTAATATTCAAATTCATATAAACTATAACAGGCATAAAATATATATATAACCTTAAAAGTATAATTAGTAAGTACAATAGTCCTCTATTACCAAATTTGATAGCTTACAGCAGTGGTTTTCAGAATTTGCAGTAGAACCCCTTTAATAAATAAAAATGTACCTACTAGGTTTCTATGTAATAAAAGAGATCAGTGCAAAGCTACTTGGCTAAAGTGCGAGTCCAGAGTCCCATCTACTCAGCCCCCCTTCATCCTGAAGCCAAATGAAGGCAGGAACAATGTCTGCCTCTTTCACTGGGGTACAGCCAGTGCCTGGCACCTGGCAGTTACTCAAGTAATATTTGAATGAATAAAAAAGATATAAGTTAACTGGGGAAAAGTGAATGTCACTGATGCACAGTTATCTAATCTATAACTACTGTTTCGAGCTTTTTGTTATGCCCACTTTCAACAAAGTAGAAACCTCAAAGTAACCTCAAAGTAGATTTATTTTAAAAAATACAGACAGTACAAAGAAGTCAGGGGGAAAAGTGAGCTAAATTCAACAGGCCATGTCAAAATACTGTATTAGAAGTTGTAAATAAAATGGCATAAAAATATGTTAAGAAAAGGTCCCTCTCCTCCAAGAACATCCCATTAAGAAAGATACTAGCCCTGGCTAGTGAAGCTCAGTGGATTGAGCGCAGGCCTGTGAACCACATGATCGCGGTTCGATTCCCAGTCAGGGCACATGTCTGGGTTTCAGGCCAGTTCCCAGTGGGGGACGCATGGGAGGCAGCCATACATTGATGTTTCTCTCCTTCTCTCCTTCCCTTCTGTTGGGAACCTTACACCTGGCTTCTAGCTAAAAACATTGCATTGATTACAGGAACCTGTGCGCTCCACAAAGCCAATCAGCTACAGGTACATGAGGTGTGCATGCGCTCCCCAAGCCAATCAGCTACAGGCACATGAGGTGTCCACGAGTACCAGTTGCACCCAAGTAATCAATAAGCGGGCCCTTCTTTGTCTCAAGCTAGCCAATAGCAAGCAACCTAATCTCCTTCCTCTCCCTCCCCCCTATATATATACCCAGTTCGGAAAAATAAAGTTTGCAGCTTGATCAGAATCCTTTGTCTTGCTGCCATTCTTCGCGCCTCTTGTCCCCCCAACTCATTTGTTCTAGGTAGGTGGTCGAGCCCCAGTTGATTGCTCCGCGGGCCGGAGCACCCTTCATTTCTAAAGATAAATAAATAAAATCTTTTTAAAAATTTCAAAAAAAAAGAGAAAGATACTCACACTCAATGAGGAAGACAAAAAAAGATAAGACTTGATAAATGGTATAAAAGAGGAATAAAGCCCTGAAAACAGCAAAGAATTTGGGAAGACCTCCAGGATCTGATTTGACTCCTGAAAAATGGTAGAATTTTTAAGTGAATCTAAAAAAAGTACATTTCTGGTAGGGAAAAGAACAGAGCAAATAAATGAAAATAGAAAAGTACCTCAAGGAATAGCAAGTTAACTGGGCTAAATTTTTAGGCTCTTGTAGTAAAGAAGCAGGTACTACTGTAAAGGGAGATTCAGAAGTTTTCAAAGGCCACCTTTCAGCACATGACACAGTACCCTAGGAGTACCGGGAGTAACAAACTTCACTGATCATGTTAAGATCAGCATACCTATGAGCTACAATCAAATCAAGTAAATACTTACCAGGTCATTCATATTAGTTTGGCTAGCTGGATTAATTTCTTCCAAAAATTCCAAGACATAAAATGTGTATCTATCCATAAGGTGAACTCCAATTGCAGGGTCAGGTTGATGCTACAAAAAAGCAAAGAATATACAATGGCATATTATTCAGCCATAAAAAAGAATGAAATTGATGAACCTTCAGGATACTATGCTAAGAGAAATAAGGCAGATGGAAAAACAGACACTGCATAATCTCACTTATATGTGGAATAAAAAATAACAATAATAAAACAAGCTCATAGATGACGAGAACAGATGGGTGGTTGCCAGAAGCCACAGAGATGGGGGATGGGTAGGATGGCTGAAGAGAGTCAAAAGGTACAAACCTCCAATTATAAAATAAAGAAGTCATGGGTATGTAATTTATAGCATGGGGCAACTATCAATAATACTGAATTGCATATTTGAAAGTTGCTAAGATAGTACATCTTAAAAAGTCTCATCACATGAAAAAAATTCTGGTGACAGATATTAATTACACTTATCCTGGTGATCATTTCACAAAATATACAAATATCGAACCATGTTATACACCTGCAGCCAACATAATGTATGTCAGTTATACATGATAAAAAAAATTTTAAAAAGCAAAGCAAAAAAAAGTATATGTCTAATAGCATCATTATAACAAATGTTGTTAAATATAATCAAAATTTCCTTCTAAGGTGTTAAAAAGTCTAAAAAATAACAGATATACTGATTAAGCATTTAAGCAATTTGAGAAATAGCTACATATTCCAAGGACAATGAAGTTTACAAATTGGAAAAATGTACCTACCGAGAGTGAATCTTCTCCCACTTGGCTACTAGCTAAAGCCATTATGTTAGGAGAATAAAATCGCTCATACATGGATGCTCCTTGACAAGTATCAATAATAAACAGTAGCTCATTGTATCTGAAAGAAAAGTGGTAATATCTTTGACATGAATCATGCTGTTAATGATATACAGACTAATATTTTTACAATACTTCCATAACATAACATGTTGAAGTTTTATCTTAGTCATTTCATTAGTTAAAAATTGAGACTTTTCACCCTGGCTGGTGTAGCTCAGTGGATTGAGTGTGGTTTGATTCCCAGTCAGGGCACATGCCTGGGTTGCAGGCCAGTTCCCAGGAGGGGACACATGAGAGGCAACCATACATTGATGTTTCTCTCCCTCTCTTTTTCCCTTCCCCTCTAAAGATAAATGAATAAAATCTTTTTAAAAAATTGAGACTTTTCAGTAGTTCCCAATATAAATTTGATATTAGAAACATTAAAGGTATAATCCTGTTCAGGAAAACCACCTCAACAGGGAGTGGTTTTTGTGCCCAAACCCTTTCCCCTTCCCTCATCTATGCCCCATAATTAAGAATCTAAATAAATACTGAATATTGAATTCAATGAACACGTACTTGGTACTCAATGCTGCCCTAGAAACTGACCTACCTTCAGCCAAAAAAACCCAAAATACTCAAAGAGCTCAAAATCCAACTGGAAGACAGACTCTGAAACTGAGTATGTGTTAAAAATATTTACTGAGAGCCTACGACCCGCCTGACACTAAGCTGGGAATAGTAAGCCCTCACAGCGCTGAGCACCCGACAAAGTCAAAGTGCTCCAAGAGCTCGGAGAAAGGAACAGAGAGAAGTGTAAAGACAGGTCAGGAAAAGGAGATGTCTGACGTGGGCAGTGAGGAGAGAGTGCCATCTGATCTAACAGAGAAAGGAAACACACTCCAGCAAAGGAAAAAGCTTGTACTAAGGCACCTGAATGTGAGTAAGTACAAATGTCTGGGGAAAGAGGAACAGATCTGTGTAGCTAGGATTTAGACTAATTTGGGGAAATGAAGGGAAATTCCTGTCAGAAAGGTAGGTAAGGTCAATGTGTAAGTAAAGAAGCCCATATAAAGTTTGGGTCTTACATCCTACAAGTTTGAAAAAGCCACAGAAGGTTTTTTGTAAGTGACAAAATAACAAGCTCTATGTTTTATACTGAGCTGACTAAGGACTGAAAGTAGGGGGTAGGGAGCTGTCTCTGAGCTTTCTCCCAGACACTGATCGAATCAAACAGCTCACACTGCACCTAGAAGATACAGTACGTAATCTTGAATCACAGTATCGAAGCAGGTGACAGAGGCACAATTACTATGACATTTCTTCTGAGACAGCAACAGTGGAGGCCCCTGAGGGTCAGAAACATCCAAGGTTAAGTGAAGCAGTTAATACTGGACCACCTGGGCATGAATCCTGGTGCTGGCACTTCTAGCTGTGTAAAATTTGGCAAGTTACTTAATCTGCTTACCTTAATTTATTCATCTGTGAAAAAAAGTAATAATAAAAGCATTTATCTCATGGAGCTGTTAGTAAAACTAAACCAGACAATACATATAAAACACAGTGCCCAGTACCTACCCTATATTCAATAAATGTTGAGTTTTGAATAAGATAAAACCAGAAACTAAAAAAATCTTCCTCCTCAATATTTCCATATATTCTGTGTATGCTTTTAATTCAGTATTTTGGGGGGGGAATTAGAGCTAAAAAGGAAAAGTCAAAACATCATCCATTCTCTTCCATTCTCCCTGGAACTCCCAGAGCAAATGACAGCCATGAAATGGAATTTCTCTTCTCTGTTAAAACTGATAAACTTCTGCCCATCCTGGCCCCTCCCTCCTGTCATAATAGAGGAGCTGCCCTTCATCTTAAGGTTCACATAGCTCTTCTTGTATTGGTCCTCTTCTACCTTCTTAGGAATCTCATACGTTGTGCTTGGGCTTATAATTCAATATTTATAATACTGAGTTTGTAGCATAGTTTTATACATATACCTCTCTGTTCTACTCTATTTTAAACTCTTTCAAGGAAAAATAAGCATCATATTCCCCTCTGTACCATGTTTAGAAGGTAATCCACAGGTGTTTATCGTAGGTACGCAAGTTGAAAGCAGTTCTATTGCTATTTTAAATTCACTTAATAAGTTCATATAATAACTTTTAACAAAAGGGATGCTTACCATTAAATTACTAACAATATATCATCCCTAATGTGAGTCAAGTTACAAATTTTATACTAATCATAATTTCAACATTTTTGACAAAGAAGAAATAATGTACTGTTATCACACTGTGGGCCAGAGAATGTGCAAAAAGTGAGAATAGGAACAAGCTGGAAAATAAATCTATGTTCATAATTCACCTAATTAATAAGGAACTTGGTTATGGGGATCTTATTTCAACCAAGGATGCTAAATAAAAAGGTTATCTTTTGTCATGCTCTTTAATAACACTGAGTTTCTCTTTTAAAAATAACTCCACTCAGTTGAAATAACAAACACAAATCTAAAAGAAATGATTCAAATAAATTAAATTCTCACAAAATAAGACCTGCAAATCTTGGAAAAATTAGGTGCTAATTTATCTTTTGAAAAGTAGTTATTTGCTAATTACCGTCTTTTCTGCCACATTTGTTCAAAAGCATCTGCAAGCTCTATGTTGGTAATTTCTTCAGAATCTTGAAATTTCAAGAAACCATTTCCACCATGTCCTTATAAAAAACATAAAATAGACACGTTTTTAATGCAAACTGCATACATCCAAATATAAATATTTATTTCAGTCACGACAATTTTTAATAACACTTGTTATTTTATATTCTAAAGTAAAAATACTGTGAAAACAAATTAATTTTATATAAATCAGAAAGAAAATAATAATAGACTATATAAAAATAGATATATTTTTAATGGTTTATTTAGTATTCAATTATACAAAAGCATGTTTATATTTTTTCACTGGCTCCATTATTATGTCAGAAATGTGTTTCCATAAATAAAAAGTCTTCAAACACCAGGGGAACCTTTTTTGGTGAGAAAGGAGTGGAAGACACTAGTTAGTCCCATGGTATAAGAGCACTATTTGTAGCATTATACTTATACATGGAATGCTATACTACTAGGAAATGCAGTTTTATCACTGAAAACTTGATGTTTTTACTACTATCAAACACCATCCCAGAAACAGTTGACCAGAAGACTATGAAATTTAGAATGTATTATAGAGCAAATCTGCCTAGATTCTAATACTAGCTTATCCACTTAATGACTCAGTTATTTTGAACAAATTACTTCTTTCCATGCCTCAGTTTCCTCAGCTGCAAAGTGAGAAATGTGTCAGTGAGACCATCATTTGCACACCTACACAGCTCCTTTGTACTGATTTTATAGAGGTACCTGCCAAAGGGCAGCGAAGTAGAAAAAGTTGTCTATTTTAGCGTCCCCTCTCAATATATGTAGTCCTGTGAGCTCAAAAGCAGTTAGTGGCTATGCCCCTGTGGGGGATGGGAGGGAGGAAACAGTTCTCCCTTTCATTAGACAACCCTGTGCAGGGTACACAGCTTAGTAAGTGTAAATATATACTGGGTTTCAGTTCCCACTCACCTCTCTACTCAGACACTTACATGCAATGCACAACTCACTGTGTATCAACTCTGAACATCAGCACCTAAATCCCTGGGTTGTTGTGAGGATGAAATGAATTACACACAATGGTTTAGAGTACTGCCTTATGTACAGTGCCTCAATAAACACTAGCTATTACCACTTTTATTACATTATAATTATCGACCCTCCTATTCTTTTCCTTAGGTTGGCATACTTTTCCACACAGGGCCAGGTGGTAAATGTTTCAGGCTCTGGGTGCCCTGGTCCCTGTTGCAACTACAGAACTCGGCTGTTGCAGTGTAAAAGCAGCCACAGACTACATGCGACACAGATGAACGTGACTACGTTTTAATAAAACTTGGTTTCCGAAACAGGGAGCCCTTCCATGGACCATAGTTTACAAAATCGTATTTCGGACTACTGGAATTTCTTCCATACAAATCAACTCAGAGAGAAAAAAATGCTGTAAAATCTCTAGTTTAGTACATTAAATAAAGCTAAGCCACCAGACGATACTTCATCCTAATTGCCAAAAAAAACTTAAAAATTTCTTTTAACTGTTACTAAAAAAAAATTCTTTCTGACTTCCCTTACTCAGCTGAGTTAATTTATAAAGTTGATAAAGTGATTGAATTTGAAAAGCTATAAATAATTGAAACAGGATAGATAAAAAATAAACTGCAAAGTAGGGGTCAGTATCCACCCTGCTGTGACACCTACGAATCATTCTGCACCTGTCTTATCCTGTTTTATTATCAGTTGAATGGAATGCCCCCTGAAAAAAATTTTAAATACCATCTGACCAACATTCATATTTACTGAATACTATTATAAGACAAGGCACTGGTGATAGAAGAGTGAAAAACACATTATCACTGACACCTTGGAGCTCAAAAGCTAAGAAAGTCAATTAATATCTAGACAAAAAAGTCACAGTAAGTTAAATGCTAAAATGGAACCTACAGATTAATATGGCAGTGAAAGGGAAGAGCATGCACCAGCCATGGAGATGAAAATTCTCTTAGGGCAATTATGAAATATATTATACATACCAGAAAACTTGTGAGGAAGAAAGGAAGCACTATTAATAATTACACCGGGACAACAGGTATAAACTAGAACTGTCCCAGGCAATTGGAAATATAGTCACCCTAGACTTAGAAAGGAAAATCACTTAGACTAACACAATACGGAATAATTGAGTAGGCAAAGTGAACTGAGAAGGCATCAATAAGCAAAGGCAACAGCTCAAGCAAACAATATGAGGACAGAAACAGTCCGATGCTTAGAAGGGAATTATAAAAAGTAAGAACTAAAATTAAATAAATAATAGATCTACAAATATGTATTATATATTGCAATATAGCATAAATCAATAAATAATATAACTATATTATGGAGGACTTTATCCACAATAGTCTTTAAAGTAGAGACAAAACACTACAGGAGCTTATATCAGGGGAGTATATTTAAAATGTATTTTGATGAGCCCCACTCCAGACCAAAACTAAATCAGAATTTTAGAAAAAGGCCTAAGAATTTACATTCAGATAATCCTTATGCACACTACAAGTTGAACTCCATCACTGGGAAACCAGAGTATTAAAAGAGGGACAGATTTGCAATTTCTATTAAACACTTTAGTAGGATGATTAACAAGAGACAAGACTGAAGGCAAAGAGGCTGCAGCAGGACACTAAGTAAAAGGTAATGAGTTTTACCAGGGAAATAGTAAAAAGAACAGAAATAAGAAACTATGCCCTGGCTGGTGTAGCTCAGTGGATTGAGCACGGACTGCGAACCAAAGGGTCGCTGCTTCGATTCCCAGTCAGGGCACATACCTGGGTTGCAGGCCAAGTCCCCCAGTGGGGTCACATGAGAGGCAACCACACATTGATATTTCTCTCCTCTTTCTCCCTCCCTTCCTCTCTCTCTAAAAATAAATAAATATTAAAAATAAAAAAAATAAAAATAAATAAAAGAAACTAAAGGACAGCACAAAATGTTATAATGTTTTCAAGTATTATTTCAAGGTGTTATATATTATGAAAAAAATAAACTATTTAACAAATAAAATATTGTAACCAAATATCATTTAAGGTGCTTAAATTTCTTTCCACGGGAAATCCTTGTTGAAAAGAGTAGCAATATATTTTATTATTAAATATATAAATCCTGAAATTACCTGTCATATAAATAAGAATATTGCTTCTATCATCGGAAAGAAGACGTTTTGACCGAGGAGTACTAGGTGGGATCCTCCCAGTTAATACCCGTAAAAAATTCTCCACAGTTACCTAAAAAAAAACAAAGAGAGAGATAAATCAGATAAAAAAAACTTAGGAAAACCTGATAATCTGTCTTTACTTTTGAAAACATTCTTTCTCCTTTCTCTATGTACTACTTACTATTAAACTGAAAATAAAACACAAGAGAAACAAACTAAAAATATATTTAAATATATAGTTTAAAGTAACTGCCTCTACTTAAAAAAATACTACAAACTAACAATAAAAACTACTTAGAGGAAAATAAAAGTTAATTCTAAATTTAAAACTTTAAATGCTATGCAAAATGTTGCCAAAACCTTAAATTTATAAGTCTGTCATCATAAGCAATTATTTAGGAAGATTTAAAAAATAGAAACTTGTAAATAAATTCAGCTATATAACTACTGCAATTAATCTGTGCAACTACTTAGTCAATTCAAGATTAGCCAGAAAGACAGGTCCATAATAAATCACAGAAATAAAACCCTGAAGAGAACTCCATAAATAATTCCGAAGTTATTATGTACCTTTGATTTTTCAGGGCATTTTGTTACTTAAATCTCATAAGGGATCTCTTTAACAATGTGGGAAGGCAGTGGAGTGGAGGTGTGGAGGCTGGATGAAGGGGAGGAAAGGACGAAAAGGGGATATCTGTAATGGTGTCAACAATGAAAAAAAGAAAAATATGGTACTTGGTAACTGTAACAAATTCTCTCTTGGTGAAATACCCACCCCCACAAAAAGTCACACCACTTTAAACCAGATTTCTCAACCTGGAATTTCTGGACCTCTGGGATTTTTTGAAAGCATATTTAAAGTCATGGAGAATGTAATGCTAATTTAAAGTTATACAGATACAAATTTAAAAAGCAGAAAATATCTCTAGCATTCTTCACTTTTCTCCAGATCATGGATATGTGTGTGTGTGTGTGTGTGTGTGTGTGTGTGTGTTAGATGTTTGGTTTACCTTTTTCTCAGAAGAGAGCAAATGTTAAGTGGTTTAATAGGACTTCTTATTGGCTAACAAGGAAGGAAATTTTTTGGTCTACATTTTATAATGACTAAACAAACAAGTAAAAATTTCAACACTTATATACATTTAATTACTGAACAACATTTTTCAATGTCTGCAAAGGGCTTCAGCTACTTGCTAGATATAAGACATAAAACAGAGGCCATTTCCTCAAGGAGCTTACAGCCTGGGAGGAGACGGATATGCTTCTAAAATTCCTTCCGAGCAAGCCTAGGAACACAGGAAATTGTGTCTTACTTTTGGTAGGCTTGGTTAAAAGAAGGATTATCCAGGAAGATCTCATCAAAGAACACTGCAAATTTTAAATGTATTCACAATCTTCTAAACTTAAAATGAAGTTTCAAGGGAGAAAATACAATATAATGCATTATTCAAATTTACATTTTCATTTTTAATCATATGTGCATAAAAACACTAGAAGCATATTAAAAGTGGTTACCTATAAGCAGTGAAAATATGGGTGAGTCCTTGGTTAGTCATTTTAATTTTTCCACAATGAATATATTTACTAAAGATATAAAACTTAAAATTTTAGATCAAATATAAAAAACACAATACATTTACTATAAAAAACTCAACACAAGAAACCTCTAAAATACTCTCATAAAAACCAAGATAAAATGTTGTTCAGTGATTAAATGTATATAAGTTTTATCCTAAATACATATTTAAGATATTTAAAACTATTGTGACAGTTTTACTTACACACTGTTTCCTTAGCATGAACTCCAGAGACAGAATGGTATCAAGACTTTAGTGACAATTGTGTACAAAGTTCAAAGACAAAAAATAAGACTATTTTATTCAACCAGTGTTTTAGAGCTTAAAAGTAACAATAACTACATTTCAAAAATGTTGCTAAGTCAAACAATTCACCTCGTAACTTCTATAATCTACTTCCACATCGTCTCCGTACACATTTAGCTCCATATTCTTGTGACTAAATACTGTGGCTGGTTTGGGGTTCCTGGGGTTGCAGGCCATGTCATCTGCAAGCATCAGAACAATGTGACTGGAAAAAAAATTCAGAGAATATATTATTTAAATGAAACCAAGAAGTTAAAAACAGCCACATTCTGTTTACATCACGTAGCAATTATGTGCATTCTTTTCTTCATTACAAATAACTCAACATAATTATTGAGTGCACTTTTAACAGAACTATTTTTTCATATTTTTATGCAGTACAAGTTTTAAAGTAGAGCAATCTGGCATGAATTTATATGTAGAATTTGAGTCACTAAATTTTTTCACAACAGAGTATAAGTTATACCATATAGAAAGGGGAAGCGGGAGGAGCTATACTGTCCTCCCCAAACATTTAGAAACAAATTAGTAATGTTCAACATTCTCAGGACTTATACAGTCTGCGTTAAGCTATGATATTCCAAAGAATCTGACTTTCAGAAGCACAAATGCTTAAGAATAAAAGACATGCAATCCATCAGCAAGAACGATCAGCGTATCACAGGAACACACCTCCAACCCAACCACTCTTCACTGGCTCCACTCCATCTCCCTAACACCAGGCAGCCACCATCATCTCTTGACTGGGCGCTATTAGAATAGCTCCCCACCTGGCCTCCTGCTTCCATTCACACCTTTTTACAGTTTGTTCTCCTTATAACCACCAGGGTAATCTTCTATAAGTAAGTCAAGTCATCAAACTTTCTTACTTTAAAACCTTCCAAGGACTCCCCACTGTAATTAGAAAAAAATCAAAACTGCTTACAATATAAGGGGTGTCAAACTCATTTTCACCACGGGCCACATCAGCCTCGAGGTTGCCTTCAAAGGGCCAATGTAATGTAGGACTATATAAATGTAACTACTCCTCAATAATTAAGTGAGAGTTTGGCACTACCGCCAGGTAGAAACAAGGTTCTGGGCCAGTTAAAATAAGACGGAGGGCCGGATTCGGCCAGTGAGCCTTGTGTTTGCCACCTGTGCCTTACATGATCTAAAAAGCTCAATTAATGTGTCTGAATCTCTCTAACTTCAGCCCCTACCACCCAATATGTTCGTCTACGGTGGGGATGTCCAGCCTGCAGCTCATAATGAATGGCAATGAATGCAGCCCAACACAGAATGGTAAATTTACTTAAAATGTGAGATTTTTTTTTCGTGATGATGTGTTGCAATCTATTTAATGTGTGGCCCAAGATGACAATTCTTCCAGTGTGGCCCAGAGAAACCAAAAGGCTGGACACCCCTGGCACTGACCTTTCTGTTCTACGAATATAACAAGTCTTTCCCACTTTAGGGGCTACTGACCAAATTTGACTTGTCTCCTCCCAAATCTTCCTGTCATTCTAATCTCACCTAAGGCACTCTATTCTCACTATGCATTTTATTTTCTACAAGTCACCCCCATCACCTCCCAGCAGCACCCCCACTGAAATACAAGCTTTGTGAGGGCAGGGCTTTATCTCTCCCGTTCAGCACCGTGACACTCAGGCTTCATTAACAGAGCCTGACATACAGTAGGTATTCAATTAATATTCACTGGGTGAAGGAAACATTTTCATTTTTGCATATATTTTCTTCGAGAGAAAATTACAAAATCCCTCTAAACTATTTATCATGATCTTACCATTAAACCTGGTGAACACAAATTAAGCAATTCTTTACCATACACCTGATGTTCCCAAATGTAAGGGAAAAGTTAATGTGGCATATGTAACTAGTTTGGCAGGACATAACAAGAAGGAAATGTTCTGCTGCATATGTTCCAAATACATTGAAGTTCCGAGTGAATCATTGTGATTTTTCTTAGAAATTGGCTAGATTTGTATTTTGAAAGGGTTCCAACTCTGTCACATTCAAAGATCAGTCATTGAGCTGTTGTTACTGATGCATATTCACACAATGATGAAAGTTATTCCTCTTAAAATGGAAAATATCTTTTTAATAATTTGAGATAATTAAATTACAATGTTATGATTAATCACATCTTTTTGTTACAAGCCATTATTAAACAAAACTGAACTGACCTCCCAATGTCAATATAAATATGAGCGTTCCATTAGGCCATATTTTTGGTTTGAGATTCACTACCTACCCAATGTCATTATCATAAAACAGCAGTATTTTCAGCTTCAAATCATAAATTCAACCAATATTTTTCCCACAGATAAATTTATTGGAATCTATTTTTCAATTACAATTGTCATAAAATATTAGCTTCAGGTTTTCCTACAGATAATTTTGAGCCTCAATATAAGTCCTGTAACCCTCTGTTAACATAATCAATATACCATTTAAAAATCATTACATTTGTGAACAATAAATGAAAACCATGACACAAAACAGACTGGATTTCAAAGGTTTAGAAGTCCAACCGCACATTCTGCTCACTGTTTGTAAAACTTAAGGAATGTTCAAAACTGTTTGACGAAGGAAAAAAAATTATCACTTGGTCCAAGTGTTAAACTATTTGTATAATGATACTTAAATATACACATGAGAGTAAATTCCCTAGGCTTATAGTTCTTATAAAATGATAAGTATAAAATTATAAATTAACAAAACTACCAAACTAGTAATATTCTAAAAACATTAATTCCGTTTGAAGGATATGTTATTTGCTAAAACTAAATGACTACTGTTACCTTTAACAAGAGAAAGAGGTAACATCAGGCCTGGCTCTACAGTTCAGTTTTTACTACATTTTGACATCCACCCTACAAAATAATTTGATGATATTAGAAGTCTGTTCACAAAAACATGCTGTACAAAATGCAATTCATAACTTACAGACTCTCTATTATTCAGGAGAATCAGATCTTATATTTAACTATAATTTGCCAATATATATTCTTTGCACACACTAGTTATCATGAGATCCAACTTGATTACTTAAAGTCTCTTTTTAGCTTGAATATCAGGTTAGCATCACAGCAGAGATTTAAGTCTTCACTGAGTGAGTGTCAAATCACTGCTGGAATTAAGGCCAAAACAATGTACACTGAAGAAAAACTATTACCTCCCACTAAGTAATATTAAGAAGTGGTATCTTATTAAAATAAAATCCCTCAAATATATCCAATCAATACAAGAAAATGATATTGTATTTTGGCAGTCTTACACTACCAGGTGTGCTGACTCAATTTTCACTTTATTCCCACTCCTGCAAAACCTATACCACACAGCAAAGCACATGGTAATATGGCCTTCTCTCAACAAAACCAAAGAAAAAGTGAGCACTGAAATAGTATGAAGTTCAAACTGGGTTTGAATCTCAACAATATAGTGATTATTTACATAGGTAGTTTTCACATTTTTAAAATCATGTACTCCAGTAGAGTTTAAAAAAATGGTGAGGGCAAACCCATATATATCTACTAATTTCTAAGTCATATGTATTTGCTACTTTAAACGCATACAATAAATATTAGTGAAGCATAATTTCTTTCCTTTTTTAGATGAAAAAAAGCTGCTAATATTTTCTTCCCTTACCACTCTTTGGATATAATCTAAAAAGAACACCTTGATCATGCTTATATAGATTTTAAAGATTATAAAAATAAAATTTAAAACTTATCCAAAAAGAAACATATCTGGAGATGTGTTTCTTTTAGACCATCGGAAATGGTCTAAAATACTTTCCCATCATCATGTTTGCCCAACACTGAAGGAACAGGTGAGCCCTGCATCAGGACAGCTAGGTCTCTTGACCCACCTCCCTGAAATTCTTCCTGGGCCCATTCAGAAACCAATAACCAATGGGTAAACATACATACATTTTAAATAGCTGAATAATCTGTTACCACCATAGACCATTAGAGTGTAAAATTTCAAAAACTGTTATTTTTCATTTCTGATAGACCACTATTCATTACTAAAAACTTTGCCAACTGGATAAATTTCACCAATTTAAATAAATTACTGTATGTGTTAAGATGTCTTTAAAATGTTCACTTAAAATTGCTATACAGCCCTGACTGGTGTGGCTCAATGGGTTGGGCATCATTCCCACAGACCAAAAGGTCCACAGCTGGATTCCCAGTCAGGCCACATGCATGGGCTGAAGTACAGGTCGCCCTTGGGGGAGTGCGGGAGACAATCACACACTGATGTTTCTCTCCCTTTCTTTCTCCCTTCCCCCCTCTCTAAAAATAAGTAAGTTTAATCTTTAAAAAGCATTGCTATCCATTCAATAGCCATGCTACTGATCAGGTATTACTACCGTATACCATCTTTAGCTACCAGAGAGAGCTAGGACCACCAGGCTTCTTTTCAATAACATCACCATTCCAACCTAGAAAGGTGGCTGCAAGTAAAACAGCAGATTGAGGATCACAGGGATCTTTGACGCTCTCTTAAATCTCTGGTTTCTGCTCGTGTCACTTTTGTTTTCCCGACATAAATTATTCAGGACACTCTGTATATGATTGCTTCTTCAGGATTTTAATGGTTGTGGGATGAAACAAATGCAACAAATTTTGTTAAATTTTCGTTAGCTGGAAGCCAAAATAATTCACTCTCAGGCTTTTCTTTCTCCTTTTCCACATCTTGGGGAATCTCCAAGTTAATAAATCTTACCACCAATGTACTATGAAGCTAATTATAGCAAATCTATTAGCTGCAGGTGCTAGACCGTTAAGATTTCACAAATTACTTTTAACTCATCAAATGTCACACAATTGGCATTATCAGACTACATGATGCCAGGTACTCTGAACTTACACTACTAGAAATAAAACTAAAAAAAACTACACTGCAGAGATAGGAAGTCAACAGCAGCACACTCACACATTCAAAGTCACACGTGTTTTAGTACAATATAATGACAATGAACATTTATTGAGAACCTGATATACCTCAAGCACTGCACTAACAAAATAAGCACATTACAAGCACTATCTCATACATTAATTTCAGATACAGAGGGTGGAGCAAAAGTAGGTTTACAGTTCTGAGTATGTGAACGTTTATTCTTGTATTATTATTTATTAATTATTGTATCATTTTCCATATAAACAACTATAAACCTACTTTTGCCCCTGTATA